AATTCAGACTACAATGAAGCTTTCAAATTTAGCAGATCGAGTCAAATCGGGGCATAATTAGCTCTAAATTTTTGTTCTCAACCCAGAATAAACTCCTTGGGGTGGTTCAACCCACAGCCTTCAATGTAGTTGTTAAATAGTCGAAACCCATTTGTTATTTTTAAGCAAAAGAATAAAACAGGGTTTCCCCCAGAAGACTTGCTAAAACTGGCGGACCATGAGTGGGTGGGGGTTGGGGGTGATTCTGAATTAAAAAGTGTACATTTTCTAATTTTAAATTTAGTTGTATTGTCTAATTTTACTAAGTACAAGGTACAATTAACGTTTGGGGTTTTCCCCAAATGATTTTCCCTTTGACCTCTGGCAGGATACACTAGCACTTTATCGGTTACACTAAAGAGCGTCCGCCATGCTGGTAATACAAACCAATGAGTTGACAGTAGGGATGTGTATTGGTGAAATAATGGCGATACGATACATATCACGATACAGGGGTGACAATACAATGCGATATATTGCGATATATTCAGTCAGACGATATTAGTGATTTTTTAGACTGAATTTATTATAGAAAAATTCAATAAACAGTCCGAACTGATGCTTAACATGTTTAATATGGTGTATCTGAACCATAATAGAGGGATTTACATTTCAATGGTGGAAACAAAACCAACTGCACACTGCTGCCAACTAGTGGTCGGCATTTGAATTGCAACAAAGGAAATAAACTACACAAATGTTTGCATGTAAATTTTTCCAAAAAATTAGATACACGGCTTTTGAACATCAATATAATACTGCTGGGAAAAATATCATGATATGTTGCGATAGATATTTTCAGTACACAGCATTTGAATATCGACATAATATAGCTGGAAAAAATATCCCAATATATTGCCATATCGATATATTCCATACACGGCATTTGAATATCGATATTTTCGTACATCCCTAGTTGACAGACTGAATTTAAAATACTGGTTAATATAACGAAGCAGTAAATTTTCCCGGTGAAGCACTTTTTTTTAACGATAAATGGTGCCTAAAAAAACTGTTAGGATTTTCTGTCTGACATTCGTTTACTCTTCCTACTGAGAGAATCTTGGAGGCATTTAGCCACGTTTGTCAGGTTTTAACCTTTGCTGCAGGAGCCTCAGTCTCATTCCCATGGACAGATTGTGTAAGAGGGTCAAAAACTTCAATAGGCCTTCATTAAGCACAGTTAGCGCCAACGGTTAATTATGGAAATTAGGAGACCCCTCGTGTTGTTTGTGGATCTCTGGCCTCTGCCTTTCACTGCAGACTCACACACAAAAACACACCACACTGTGAGACTATACCCATCCCATATAGCACACACATGCTTTCATTGCGTCATTCATACAATACTTTTCCTTTTCACTCATTTAGGAAGCCAAAAATGAAGTTTTCTGGTTTGGGCATTGAAATTATGGCAGATGAGTCCCCTCAGGGCCCTAACCCAAAAATCCAAGCCGTATCCATTTTTCAGCCAATAAAAGATAACTGTTAGAAACTCCACAACGTGGTGGAACATGTTTTTAGTGGAGATATAACATAGGGTTGTCACGATAACCGGTGTAGCGGTAAACCCCGGTAAAAAAGTTGACAATAATAATAACCGTCTTGTTTTTTCAAATATATATTATCTCGGTGGATCACCGTGCCTACACCGCAGCCACGGTGACCCTTACCAGCCACCGTATCATCTGCTGAAGTTGCCAAAGGCACATGCGCACTTTGTTGTTTACAACCAAAACTTTCTTGAAGCTAAAGCTGAAATAATGGCCAAAGGAGGAGACGGTAGCGCTCAGGACATTTATTATCCCTCAAAGAAGACAAAGTGGGAAGTACGGGAATTTTTTGGATATTAGAAGAATGCCGAGGGACAGCTGATAGAAGACGGCTATCCTGTTTGCAGCACGTGTAGAAAAAGTGTGTGTGAAAGGCAGCAACGCTTCAAATCTCATGATACATCTGCGTGACCATCACCCACAACTCTACAGTCAACGCAAGGCAAGCTAACGTTAGCGTTTTAGCTAAAATGCGTGATCCGAGGATTTGGGTTGAGGGAGAATGCAACGAGTCGCTATATAAAGCAGCCGCAGCGCCGCTACCTGCATATAAACCGTGTCGCGGACACCGCCATGTTGAAATGACGCTATGCATTACGGGGCTCCCAGGGGCAGATAAGAGTTGGTCTCTCTCCGAGAATAATTATGAATTTAACAACGATTACTGCCTGATGACATTTTCCCACATCTGCAAAGCTCACTGGAAGGACACAAACCGAGGACAATATTTTCCTGATATAGGGTTTATTACTCAAGTAAGGGTAAAAAAGTATCTGAGTAGAAGGCTACTTGAGTACTGAGTATCATCTGATCTAATATTTTTAAAATGATGACATCAAACAGACAAAAATAAGAAGTTATGGGCAAATATTGGTATTTTAAAGACTAAAGAGGAAAAATGTAAACAAATAAACAACATAATTAAAATAACACATTTTAGGCAAAATTTAGACACAAACTGAGGACAATATTTTCCTGATATACAGGGTTTATGTAGTTGTCTGAAAACGTAACACGTTTAAAAAAAATACTGCGATAATACCGAAAACCGTGATAATGTTGGTCACAATAACCGTGAGGTTACATTTTCACACCGTGACAACCCTAATATAACATCAACGTTGAATTTTCCCCAAGAAAGAAGATCAAAAGAAGGTAGAGGAAGTCGTGTTGCGGTTAGCCGATAAGAGGTGAAATTGTTGCATATTAAAATTCTGCTTTTTAGAGAACCTTCTATCCACTAACGCAAGTCTGGGTTCATCTTTGAACACATCCTGTTCCCTGGATGAGCGACGCTACTTTGTTAGGGGGGTCTGTTAGGTGAACTGAGAACTGTTCACACACCACTGAGCTTTGTTTTTTGTCTTTCTTAGCATTTCCCAACAAAAACAAAATGTCTCAAAGTGATTATGTAATTTTTAAATCACAACCAGATGTCGGCCTCCACTGGCTTGGTTCCATCGCCCTGTGATGCAGGTGTCATATTTTCTTTTGATACAGACAAGAACATCTTTCAGCAACCCCATAGACCCGCAGCAGCGCTTTCCTCAGTAGATGCTCCAATGCCAAATTGAGCAATATAGTTTGCATCACTGGCTTTCACTTAGATACTCCAGCGGTGTGCCTACACAACCAAATTCAAGACAAAGGCTTTGTGTGCACTTTGTCTAGATTTGTACTGCAGCGCACTTCCTTAGCTAACCTAAATGTGATAAAAATGTGACCTCTGGTTAGTACACAAGGAAAGCCAATGGGTTCTTGGCTGTATTATGTGACGGGAGAGACCAATGACATATGCCAGTGAAAACCAGTCTTGGATTATTTCCCCTTTTAACCATGACTTTTAAATACAATCTCTAATTCCCACTTCTAGTTAAACAGCAATTAAAATCAAGATACAACAAAAAATGTTTTTTTTTTTTGCCTGTTAAGGAATGCAATAAAACCATATGTGACAATTTTTTAATACATATATATATGTGTATATATATATAGATATATATATATATATATATATATATATATATATATATATATTGCTCTGTGATAGTTTTATGAAATGAAACCATTTTGGACCAAAGAAAAAATATTTTTTTACATTTTACGTCACGAGATGAGCAAGTAACAATCCTGTACCACTGTCTTTAACTTGAACCATGTGCACCAGTTTGTGTTTGTTGTTTTTATCGAAGTCTTGGTGGGGAAATTAAGCTTGCATGAGCTCAAAAGAACAAATCAAATGTCTGACTTTCTGAAAACAAGTGACACAAAGTTAGGCGAGCTAAAGAAAAATGTTAAAAAGAAAAAACACATATTTATTATTATGCATCCATAGTAACGTGATTTATGAACTCATATTCCTGTAATCACCTTTAAATCAAAGATGAAAATCAGCATTTTAGCTTCTTTGTCGCTGTTTGGTCTCAAACCTGAGCTGCCAAGAGAGAGTCAACACCACAAACACATGTGGTGCTAACGCTTAATCACACTAAAATGTATGTGTGTGTGTGTATAAGAAATATAAAGAAGATCAAGCAGGCTGAGGGGATATTAATGTGTAGACTACCACTATACAAAGTATATGACTAAATCCCACACAGGAAGTGCACGACTAAAGCAAATAGACTCCATATGTCGTTTCTACTTCAAAGAAGTAAAAAAAATCCCTTCATACAACCCCTTATTCTTTTTTGACAGAAAGGATCATTTAGTGACGCTACAATAATTCACTTCCCTCACTCAACACCTGACGCACACAAAATATGAACCAATATGTAGAAACTGTTGGAGAAACATGGAAAACCAGAGCCAGTTTACATTATGAAGTAATTCTGGAGCAATGTTTTATCTCAATTATCTTAAAATGGAAGAGTGAGTATTTAATCACATGCATATATATATATATATATATATATATATATATATATATATATATATATATATATTATTAAAAATCAATAAGATGTGATAAAAATGTCAGCCAATAAGATGAAGGTGAATGTTTTATATTGCAAGAATTACATAAACAACTAATGTAAAATTGCACATAAAATAAATATATAAGGCAGCATATTTACACCATGTGAGAGCGGTGCAACATCCTGCTGGGATCCAGATAAAACACGCGCAAAGAACGTAGTAACAAAACCTTAACCTGGAGAGGCGATGGACACAAGAATAAAATAACAATAAAAGGCACGCACGCACACACACACACACACACACACTGCTTAGAGTGGAGCCTGATGGGCAGATGTTCAGCGTATGCAAGTATTGCGCAAAGAAGCTTTCAGAAACAACTAAGCACAGAGGGAAACATTTACTTAGTCAAAGACAGGAAAGAATAGTCAGAGACCAGCAGTGCCATGATCCATCACAACCCAACCCCCAGACAGTGAGCAGCGCAACCTGATTCAGAAGTAGCCTGTCTGTCCTTCCTGAGGCCTGCTTCCATTCAGATGAAACTGTGTGATGGGATAATATCTCCACATCAGGAAGGGATGCAAGGATCTACAACAGGAGAAATATGATGGCCTTTAGTGGAAAGATGGTAGACGTTCAAGGAAAATTTTTGTTTGACATCGGTTCCAATTTTGATCAAACTACAGAACGTAATCGATCTGAAACTACGACAGCATTAAATGAAGTTAAAATGCTGTGCTAACTTGTTTTATGTATTCAGAATATTAAAGATGTCTGAAAAAACAAAACTGCATTTACCTTGTTTAACACAGGCAGCTTGATGTGTCTAATATGGCATACCAGTAAGTCGGTGCTGTCACTGATCAGCTTTCCTATGTAATTTAGTAATTTTCTACTGGCCACACACAAACGATCGTTCTGAGAAAAGCTGGTAAAACACGTCATAGGCATCGACACTGTAACCTAAACATTTCATGGCCCAATCCACTTCAGCACTGATAATATTTCAATATTGATCATGGTAATACTAACATCAGAACAGTAATCATTTGAGGAAATATTTTCCTTTTTTTGTTTTTTCTCTCGTGACGAATGAATCTTTGCAAACAAAACTAAACTAAAACATATACTTTGCTCAAGACAAAATTATTATAAATACTGATCAACAGTTTCGTTGACAAATAAAAGACTACAATGAAAATTGACAGTAATGAAAATTCAATCAGACCACAGAAAAGATGGGAGAACGGAAAAAACCGGAACAGGCACCATTTACATGGCCATCAGGTAATGGACATTTTTCAACCTGCACGGAAAACATAGTGCTGAAACTGCTCATGTGTTCAACGACATCTTTTTGGCTTTAGATTCTCAGTTCCATGTTGTTCTGGTTCTTCTCAATCTATCTGCGGCCTTTGACACGATCAATCACAACATCCTGATCTCCAGACTCCATTTGTGGGCTGGCATCACAGGGTCTGCCCTTGACTGGTTCAGGTCGTACTTCTCCAACAGGATCTTTAGAGTTATGCTGGATGAATAATTAATTTTTTTTTTAATAAAGCATCTTCCTGCCACAAATCAAGGCAGCCCAAGGTGCTGAACACAACACGATACAGATTGAATATAGATTGAATTAAACCAAGCAAAAGTTTTCAGTGAAGCCCAATCCTTCATCACATTCAGTCTCCCTCTGGGGGTCCCTCAAGGTTCCATCCTCGGACTATTACTGTTCTCCCTGTATATTCTGCCTTTAGGAGTCCTTTTTAGACAGCATGCAGTTTCCCATCGCCTACCGTATTTTTTGGACTATAAGCCGCTACTTTGTTCCCACACTTTGAACCATGCGGCTTATAATGAGGTGCGGCTTTATGAAGATTTTCCTTCACCTGCCAGGGGGCGCTTTAGCAGAAAGTGAAACAGGTGGAAGTCAAAAGTGGAAATCGAAGAAAGTGCTCATTTTAATTTAGCACATGCAAGCAGCACGACGAAGAATCTTTTTCAAATCCATACCCCCCACAGATCACAACATGCCCTATAGGTTATAAATTGTAAGTCGCTTTGGATGAAAGCGTCTGCCAAATAAATAAACATAAACATATTCGAGTGCGGCGTGTGTGTGTGTGTAGAAAACCTTTTTTTTTGGTTGGTGCGGCTTATATTGAGGTGCTCTCTATACTCCGGAAATTACGTTATATGCAGATGATTGTCAAATCTACTTCTCTCTCAAGCCAACTGACTTCTCTAAACCTCTGCTTTACTGTAATCTTAACGTCAAAGAGTGGCTGGCTGAAAACTTTCTCCATTTAAACAACTCCGAAACTAAGGTAATTGTTTTCAGTCCAGATAATGTTAGAGTTGCTCTGTCACCTGACCTCCACTCTCTCTTCTCTCTCGTGACCAAGACTGTTTCCAACCTAGGGGTGAAATTGGACACGGGCTTAAAGATGGACGCTCAGGTTAACAGCACAGTGAAATCTCGTTTTTACCACCTCAGGTGCATTTCCAAACTCAAGCCTATTCTGAGTAAACGCCATCTAGAATCCGTGGTCTACGCCGTCATTACGTCCTGGCTCGACTATTCTAACGCCTGCCTTTATGGCACTAGCAAAGCAGCTCTGTCCAGACTCCAGCTGGTTCAGAATGCAGCAGCAAGGTTCTTGACTGGAGCCAATAGCAGACTACACACTACACCAATTCTCCAATTCCTTTACTGTTTGCCGGTTCAATTTAGGATTAATTTAAAAATTCTTTTAGTTTTTAAAACTCTGAATGGCCAAGCCCCTTCTTACCTGAGGTCTGAGAATCAGCTCCTCATTACGGTTCCTAAGGCACCCTTGGAAGTCCCGTGGTGAAAGGGCCTTCTCTTGATGTCACAAAAACTATGGAACTCTCTGCCCTTCGACATTAGGCGGATGCCTTCAATCGCAGCTTTTAATCTCCCCTAAATCTGATTTTAGTATCAAGCCTATCAGTTTACCTTCATCCCATTAATTGCTTTATTTTACTTCTGTATATTTTAAGGTTTTTAACTGCCCGTTTGGTTTTTAGTCCTTTCTTTGCAAACCTGGTTTTAGTATTAAGCCTTTAGGTTTTCCCCTTTCCATTGCATTGCCTACATTTGTGTATGTTATGGTTTTGTCTGGTTTTAGTCCTTCTTTTTAACTGTACTTACAAATTTTATAATTTGTCTGGTTGTTTTTGTTGTGCAGCGCTTTGGTCAGCTGCATGGCTGTGTTGAAAGCACTTAACAAATAAGATGGTATGGTATGGTAATTCTTACCTTTAGTTTACCTCCTTGCATTATAAGAGCACACTTTTAAATGTTTTGATAGTTTGATGTAATTTCCTGTCATGTTGCCAAATATTACTGCACAGTTATTAGAGACACAATCAAATTCTCAAATAAAATGTGTTCCACTCCGGTAGGTGGCGACATGCACTCTTTCTTGTTACCATTCCTCCGGTTAGGTTATAGCAACACAAATGGTAAACAAATGTTGGTGGGAGAGAAGCAGACGAAGTTAAAAAGGATATGCACAATGGCTGAAAAAATGGACAACAATAATGCTGCAGCACAGCTTATTTGATACGTACTATACTGTTTGATGGTGTTAAACGTGCTACTTTGTGGCGATGATGTTATCCAAAACCGCTTCTGCGGTGTCGTCACTTCCAGAAGTACCGGTATCATCTTGACAAAGCCGTATACATGCAGATGCAGTTGGTTTTCTACCATTTAATCTGAGTGCTTCAGCACAATTAGAACCAGTTCGCCTTCTGCAAGACTAACGTTTATATGCTTTAAAAAAAAAAATGTCAGTTCATTTAGGGCAATAGTTCAGTTTTCTGATGCGCATGTAAACACACTGACTGAAGGGCTTTGCTATTGACCCTTTGCACCGACGTCACCTAATCACGTGGGTCCACCATGCTGGACGGCAAAAGCATGTAAACAGTGAGCGACACGATTACTACACAAAGGGAAAAGTAGAGCCTGAAATTGTTTTTACGATCAAAACAAAATCAAAACTCCTCCATCATTCCTTCAACTAGTTCATGCCCAGTTCAGTTATCAGAAGAAGTAGCGCATCTAGCGGGGCTCATAGAGAGCGGTACGTTAACTAGCTTACCAACGTTAGCTTACGTTCTCTCTGCAGCTGTTCACCGATGTAAACATGTTGCTGACTTTGCCTAAATTCACCCCTCTGGATTTATAACTTTATGTTGTAAACAGCGTTTCACTTTACACCAAAGCTGACTGTTGAAAAGTCCGGATCCCTACCAGCTTCTGTTGCTGGTGGTGCTACCGGGTCCAGCTGCTGCTCTCACACCGGAATGAGAAGATCTCTGAACGCCGACGCTCATGTAAATAAATAAATAACGTCATTTTAACACACGTAATCATACGTCGGAGCTTTAATATTGTTAATAATTCTCTCGCTTTACACTACAGTGGACGGAGCGCAGCCTCCGTGGTGAAATACCCGTCCATCGGGATTATCAATAACTAGTATAAACACATCACATTTATCCCTGTCCCTGTCTTCCTCGTGAAATAAATGAACGTTAATCTTACCCGCTAAAAACATGTTCGCTGCAAATCTGAGGCCTGCTAGCCCGCTTGACGCTGCGGTTCATCTCCATCCTCAGTCTCCATCAAAGTTATTAAAAAACAAAGCGAGTTGAGTTTACATCCTTGTCTGTTAGTGCAGCCGACCACTCAGCAAGCTAAAACCATTTTACTGTCAAATCAACTAAATAAAAGCCATAAAAGGCTACAAACTGGCTTGTTTTGACTAGCTTCACTGGAGTTTCTATGGGTGTAAACGGTCTTTTTGCCGTCCATCATGGCGAAGGGGGCGGTCACATGAGTGGTGTGACGTCACGTGCAAAGGGTCAATAGGATTGTATTTGGCCATTTATCAGGGATCCTGGACTATTTTGAGCCTCAACAAAGTTTCACATGCTTTATAGAGGCTCAAAGACAGTTTCCATTTGTAAAAAAAAGTTCCTCTAGGATCCCTTTAGTGCAAAGCAGAAAATTAACCTAGAATGGCTAATCTGCTAAACAAGCTAGCACTAAACTTTTTTTATGCCTCTTAACGTTCTAAAATAGTATAGCTATAAATATTTTGTGGAGATTAAAAGAATAAATAATAAAGTGGTTCTGTCACATTTGTCTAAAACCCTAATCCAATAACACGAGTCGGACCAAAACCAACAATTGGGCAATCGCGTTGTCGGTCTCACCGAACCGCCGGACTTTCGCGTTTACCTGGATGCTCCACTCATTACGCTCCTGCACATTTAGCAACAGAACATCAATGGTGTGAGAGGGTTAGGACAGGGTCCCAAAAAGAAAAACTGATGTTTGAAGTTGGATAAAACAAAAGACATTTGGACCTACTAGTGAACTTTGATTTGTTTAGCACTCTCTCGTTTATTCTGGTAGTGAGCGTTCCCATATCAGGACGTGACCTAGGGATGACAGCCGATGGGAGGGGTGAGAGTTCTGTGACGAGTTCTGTTTAGGTTCAAAAGCTAGCTTGTTTTGCAGATTTGCCATAGCAGTTTTAAATGTTCTT